AACATTATCATAGCTAGATACTATCAAAGAGGCATAAACTTGATTACTTGAGTCCTTAATAAGTTAAAAACTTTATATAAATAAATTATCTTAATAATACTCATAAACCATTTTATAATTATCATTATATTTCAATTATAATACAGACAATTTTTTTTTTTAAACGATAATAATATAATTATTATAGTTCATATTAATTATATTATTTGCTTCTGAGATACCTTTATTTATCGTATAAAATTATTGCTGAAAACTTATTCTATTATAGACAATTATATCATTAGGGCATATAGAATAAATATAATTAACATCGTAAGATATAAATGCTTACTTTAAGCAAGGATTTGATATTGAAGTAATAAATTCTAATGTATAACTAAAAATATTGGTAATTGCTTAATTGCTAACAATATATATCATCTATTTAAAAGGATCACATACTATGTTGATGATTTTATATTCGTTTATAGATTATTACATAATAACTTTATTACTTACTAAATCAACAATAGAAATAATATAGCCATCGCTATTTTATTAAAGGACAAATATATTTTTTATAAACTATCCTTCTTATATTTAATCCATTTTATTAATTCTACCATAGTTTTCAAACGGAGTTTTAAAAATATCATTTTCAAATTAACTGATCTGTAATTTAAAAATTTATTTTATTTAACCTAAATTAAGTAATTCAATAATATTAATTATGTTTTTTTAAATGTTGTAAATTTAAATGATATTAATAGATGCTGTAACTATAAATTAACTGCAAATAAACGATTAAGATGTGTCAAACTCCTATAAATTGGTTAAGAAAACTTCACCTTATGAATAGTTTTATAAATTAAAAGCATATAATCTGAAATCTTAAGCATAAAGCAAAAATACTTAATTCAATATAGAATCAAAAAAGTAATTATCAGGTGTATTTTATAATGTAATTTCAAATATTTATGTTAAAGAATTTGTTTCTAAATTTACTTAAATAAACCTTAATTAATTATATGTAATGTATATGAATTCATTTTCAGATACTAATATTGGTTCTGTGAAATATGGATAAACATTTTATTAAGAGGGTTCAAAAATCAAACTATCAACAATTTATGCATTTTTGAATAAATTCAAAGAGAGATTAGATAAGCTATAATAAACTTAATATTCATCATTTAAGTATATATTTTAGATTTTTTAATACTACAATAAGTTAGTTTCGCTTGCATAGAGTACTTCTGTTAGATCAAAGCTAATAAAAGCAGTACTTGTTTACACTATCAATATCGAAATTTGTGAATTAATAAATATGTTTAAAATATTTGTCTAATCATATTATTGTAAAGATAAAGTTTCAATGAGCTACATTTCTGGAAATTTTAGAGCAGAAATAAATTTGTATGAATATAAGAAGATTACCTATTTGTTTTATTCCATCTAAATTCCCTAAGTATCTTTGATAAATGTATTGAAAGTTGTGACATTTCTTTATAGATAGTCGCATAAGTAAATAATAGGAGTTGAATCAACTAAAATTAAGCTAGCTTACTCCTAATAATAATAGGTAGCTCCTTACAAAAAAGAATTTATTGTATTGTACGTAAATAAAACCTGATCTCCAGGAACATTTATAATATTAATTTATTTTGTTGCACCAGTAACTCCAATTAATATTTCGTACTTGATATCATAATAAATATTTGTATTATTTTATCTGTAATCAAATAAAGTCAAATGATTAGAAAAATTATTTTTTTGAAAGTAATTCCATCCTTCTTCTAAGAAGCATATAAATAGCTAGTCTTTGATGCTTATTAGTGGGATACCTTAGAGGTAGTTTATATATTATGAGTATTTTGACTAAAACTATAATAAAAAATTAATTAATATTAATAGAAATTTTAAAAATAATTATAATAAATATTTAACATAAATAATTCAATTACTTTTTGAAAATATAATATATCTTAACCAGAAATTAAGTCTAAAGTTCTCACAACAGGAGAATAAATAATTAATAGGCTTTCAGAGCATACCAAATTAAATTTAAGTTGAAAAATTTTCTAATCTCCCTCATACTAAAAGCTTGTATTTACTTGTAATTAAACCCCTATTTGCGTCTGTATGTTTAAATTATAAATTAAAATATATTTTATAAATTAAAATTAATTACTTGAATGATATATAAATTTTAGTTTTAAGTTTTAGCAACTATGATTTATTGCTGCATACAAAATTAATACTCTATGATATTTGATTCTAACTTAGCAATTAATTTATTTTATTAATTTATTTTTGGATTGAAAAAATTAATATTTGATCCTTGCACATATATATAACTATTTTCATCCCAATTTAATATCTTTATTGGTAAAATTAAATCGCTTTCAACTATGTCTTGATTTCCTATATCTAACACTTTATTTTTTATTATATCAAAAATTTAGATACATTTACAACTACTATCATATAAGGCTATTAGATTTTTTCCATTTTCGTAATAATAATCTTAAATAATTTAACTTGAAGTAAGATTTAGAACTTAAAAAGGTATGTTAAACAAATTTCTATGCCAATAAACTCCATTTTATGATTAAAATATATGAAATTATGTATCATCCATATTTATTTAGCCAATTAAACTATTATCTTCTTGTTAAGTTTTGATGATAATCATATTATCAATATCAATTATATTTCCAGATTTTTTTACATAGGAAGTATTACTCAAACTGTAAAAATTAATTTACTTTAGTATCTTATAAAGTGAATAAGTAGCAGCTTCTAAAATCTAAAATGATTTAAGCTCCATGTCAAATTTATAAAAGTTTTATTAATCATAGTAAAATACAAATCTATCATTTTAAAAAATATTTAAATAGTAGATTGAAGAAGATGGATACTATATCCCAAGATTTAATTCAGTTAAGCTTTGTAAATCATAAGAATATACTAATATAGTTCCATAGTAAAACATAAATATCTCTTTTGTTTTTTAATATGCAGCTGTAGGATTAGCTAGAGGGAATATTTAGAACTCAGTTGGTTTAATAATAAAATTTTTTTGATTTAAAGAGAAAGGTCTACAAAATTATTAGTAAATTTAATCACAGAAATAAATAATATCATTATTAATAGTGAGGGGATAGTTTTAATTAGTGTCTATAGTCCAAAATAAAGTGTATGTACTTTACTAAAAATTAAATATTTGAGTTTTTTAAGTTGTAGATAAATCTAATTTAATCAAGATTGCTTCCTATTAATCATTATAAGACTGATAAATTAGATAATCATCATTTATTATTACAAAATTGTAAAAATCTAAATTATCCTAATCATTATTTATAAGCTATTCTGAGTTATCTAAATTATAAATTTAAGGAACGTTTTTAACTATTAAAATATTTCTTTTTTCAATATAAATGAAATGATACTTATAATAAATATAACTGTAATTATATGACAAAATTTATTTTTGTTGAATTATGTCAATAATTTAGTGGTATAATGTTAAACCTATGTATGATTAAAGTATAATATATTTATTATTTATTAACTAAACAAATTAAGAAGTTCCTTATGAAATGTTTCCATTTTGCTTTATTTTTAAAATTTGAGTGTTAATTTGAGGGGCTCTTTGATATCCTTAAGCTGATTCTTAAATCATAACAAATCCAATAGTTTAATCTACAAAACTTTACTCACCATCAAAAATATAAATCTATGATTAATTATTACTAACATTCGAAATTGTTACAGCTAATTGATTTTACTTTATTTCATGCATATTAAATATATAAAGGGTTTTAAATTAATATGGTGCTAAGTATTTGATTTAATATGTAAAATCAGTTAGATTATATCTAAATCTCATAAATTATTAATTAGAAGAATAATAAGATAAGACTTGTGATACAAAAAAATCCATAGTATTTTGATCTTTCACAATTTTTACACTATTAATAAGTGATATCTAGGTAATATAAGTATAATTCAAAGGCTAGAATTAATGTAAAATATTTTCTTATTATCTTTAATTTTAAAAAATTAAAAGATTTGTTATATTTATTATTTAAAGAGTCTCTGAAAATATAAAAGCTATAGTAGAATTCGTGTCATTATCTTCAAATAGTTAAAATGAGTTTAGTTATGTTGATGTTATATTCATTGTTTATATTATTTATTCTGATTATTTATTTAGCATCAATATTTCTAAGTTGAAATGCTCTTAATTCTATATAATAATAGAATTAAGCAATTCTGAATAATAAACTAATGAATAGATGGTAGAAAAATTTTCAAATTATTTTATTATTTAGACCATACTTATAAGATCTTATTTTATAATAATTTTTGATATTTAGAAAGTATAATAATCTGGTAAAGAAGAAAATAAAATATGATAATCATTTTATTAATAAAGATTTAAAAAGTTTTAATTATCCAAATTTTGTTAATTAATATTATTAAATTTCAAAGATCTATTTGAGTCCAATATGGCTATCTATTTTTTTTAAATTTCTAATAAAAAACATTTTTTTAAAAATTTTTGTAAAAAATTACTTGAAATTCACCAAAAAAATCTGTCTGCATGAGATAGCTTGTAAATGTATAGTTTTAAATTTAAGAAAAAAAATTATTTCTAAAAAATCCTAAATTTTATTGGTTTATCTATCTTTTTATACCATCATACCACATAATAGTATTGCCATAATTTAAATTAAAAAAAACAATTTAGTTTTTTGAATCCACATAGCTAACTGAGTAATCGTAATTTGTATTATTCTATTAAAAAACTACTTCTAGTGTTTTAAAATTAACAACTACTATCTTGCTCCCTGCAGAACATCCCCCTTAATCTCCAACTATAAAACTATTTCTCTAAATTTCATATCCATTAACAACATATAAATCATTGTAATTTTCTAAATTTTACAAGACTTGCACATTTATTATGTTCCAATTTTAGTCTAATAAAGCAAAAGTGCAACCATATGCTTCTACTAAATATTAATTTTAATTTATTTATTAGACTTCTATTACTCTTTTTTCAAAAGAGAATCTCTTGCTTTCTTGAATTTATATGCAACTTATGGTATCTTCACAAGTTTAAGCCTCCATATTTTAATAAAATGTTGGTTAGCATTCTTTTTAACATTTTTCAAGATTTGATGTTCCCTAAATAAAACCATTAAAATATGAGCAAACATTATCCATTAGTATACACTAATTATTAATTTAATCAAGCTTTAAATTTTAATCACATTCAAGACATTTTTAGTTTTCGTCGCATTAAACACATCCAAACACTTAGCATTTTACACACTCGTTGTTTTCATTTTAAAACTCATTGATTTAGCATTTTTGAACGCAAGCTGAATCATCATTAGAGCTTTTAAATAAATTCTACTTACATGTTATGCAAGAAGATTATTTTGTATTAAAGCACGTCTAGCACTCATTAGAGCATTATAAGCATGATTAAGTAACCAAGGAATATATTTCATTTTATTCACATTAAAAAGAAATACAAAATTTAACTAGAACCAAAATACAAAAAGTAATTTGAAATGAATTCATTTTTGAGTTTACCTGTTTTTTTTAATCTGATTAGACAATAAGGTTTTTTAAATGATTTTTTAATATAAAAATATAATTAAATAACTTTAAATGTTTAAATAGTAAAAGTTGAAAGAAAATAAGATGATACAGCATTATTTAAATTTCCTTTACGATTTTTATAGTTATTTAAATAATAAATTTCTTCACACATAAAAATCATAAATCGACTATTCGTAATCAATAACAAAAAATATCATTCATTTTTGAATGAAGATTTTAATCATCTTTAAGCTTACATATTTTTTAAAGTGATTAGACAATGAGTTTTTTAAATGATCATTTATTCTAAAAATCTAATTAAATAGCTGTCAATGTTTATATAATCAAAGTTGAAGGAAAATAGGATGAAGCAGCATTTTTTAAAATTCCTTTAAATGTTTTAAAGTTGTTTAATTAATAGATTTCTTCACACATAAAAATCATAAATAGATTATTAGTATCAATAACAAAAATTTCTTTCGTTTTTGAATGAATATTTTGATCATTTTTGAGTTTACCTGTTTTTTTAAACTGATTAGACATTAAGGTTTTTTAAATAATCTTTTAATCTAAAAATGTAATTAAATAACTTTAAATGATTAAATAGTAAAATTTGAAAGAAAATAGGAAGATGTAGCCTCTTTTAAATTTCATTTACGTGTTTTATAGTTATTTAAATAATAGATTTCTTCACACATAAAAATCATAAATTGATTATTAGTAATCAATAACAAAATTTTTTTTCATTTTTGACTTATTTTTTTAAACTGATTAGACAATCAGGTTTTTTAAATGATCATTTAATCTAAAAATCTAATTAAATAACTGTCAATGTTTAGATAATCAAAGTTGAGAGAAAATATGATGACCCAGCATTTTTTAAATTTCCTTTACATTTTTTATTGTTATTTAAATAATAAATTTCTTCACACATAAAAATCATAAATCGACTATTAGTAATCAATAACAAAAATTTCTTTCATTTTTGAATTAATATTTTGATCATTTTTGAGTTTACATATTTTTTTAAACTGATTAGACAATCAGGTTTTTTAAATGATCATTTAATCTAAAAATCTAATTAAATAACTGTCAATGTTTAGATAATCAAAGTTGAGAGAAAGTAGGATGACGCAGCATTTTTTTAATTTCTTTACATTTTTTATAGTTATTTTAAATGATATTTTTCTTCACACATAAAAATCATAAATAGATTATTTATTTAGTAATCAATAACAAAAATTTGGTTCATTTTGAATGAAGATTTTGATCATTTTTGAGTTTACCTGTTTTTTTAAACTGATTAGACATTAAGGTTTTTAAAATAATCTTTTAATCTAAAAATGTAATAAAATAACTTTAAATGATTAAATAGTAAAAGTTGAAAGAAAATAGAATGATGTAACATCTTTTAAATTTCCTTTACGTGTTTTATAGTTATTTAAATAATAAATTTCTTCATACATAAAAATCATAAATGGATTATTAGTAATCAATAACATAAAATTTGGTTCATTTTTGAATTAAGGTTTTGATCATTTTTGAGTTTACCTATTTTTTTAAACTGATTAGACAATCAGGTTTTTTAAATGATCATTTAATCTAAAAATCTAATTAAATAACTGTCAATGTTTAGATAATCAAAGTTGAGAGAAAATTAGATGAAACAGCATTTTTTAAATTTCCTTTACATTTTTTATAGTTATTTAAATTATAGATTTCTTCACACATAAAAATCATAAATAGATGACTAGTAAAAAATAACAAAAAATCTAAACCCCCAAAATTTTTTATATTAGATATTAATTAATAATAATAAAATAATTACAATGATACATACATACATATGTTTGAAGGACAAATAATTTAATGAAATCAATAATATATTCTAAAATAATTGAATGAATATAATTTGATAATAATCTATCTTATGAGTAGTAAATCCCTCCTGTAATTTTTTTAAATAATTTCAAATTTAAAAAGATAAATGCAAGAAATTATAACAAGAAAATGAATTTATTAATTAAAAAAATATTTATATAATACTCTTTATTTTTGTTTTATGTTGTAAGAGTGTATTAGTTTTTGAATTTCAATAACATTTTATTATTTTTTAAGGAATAAATTTAAATACATTTTATAAAATATATAATATTTTTGATGTTAAAATTATTTAAAAAGAGTTAAATTGTGTCAAAGCAAGCAAATATTTAAATACAAATTAAAATGAATAATGTTTATAATATTAATTAAATAAAATCATTAAAAAATAATTGTCTTCATGTTTTCAATAAAGTAATTATCACTAACAAAAAACCAATTTTAATATTCAGAAAGCTAAATTTGAAATAAAATACTTCATTCTAAAGTTTTTATTATTTTATAAAGAATTTTAAGTTTCCATAAAATAATCATCCTTCTCATAATTAACTGCATTTAAATTTTGATTAGATGTTTTTAAAGCTATTTGCATTTTATTTAAATTATTTTTATTAGGATTAAAAAAATAATTTATATATTTAGTTTGATTTCACATTTCTAGATTTTTTTGTTATTTTTTAAAATTAAATCCTTTTCATCAGATATTTCTGAATTTAAAATTTAATTAACTTCATATGCCATATGCAAATTAGATAAATTCTATGTTTTTTTTTTATATTAAAGAACTATTTTAGAGATTTGGAAGAATAAAAATCATAGCCTCTTAAATATTTCATCAATTATTTAATTCTAAGTTTAACTTTTCTTAACTTTATCAACGATTTTATCTTTTTTTTTGTTTTATAATTAAATATCTAAAAATTAAGGATATCTTTTTGTAATTTAAAAAATAATATTTTAAGTAAAGTTTCTATCTTCCTTTTAAGTTTGAATTAATAATCTAGATAGACCAATTAATAAAACAAATATATAAAAAAATTAGCAAAAGTGATTAATAACATCAAAAGCATTTAAAATGCTAAGTTATTTTAGAGTCCCACTCTTAATATGAAGCATAAATTCAAAGAAAAAGTTCATAGTACTATAGAGTGAAATGCCTATTTAATTTACAAAAGGCGAAATGTAATTTATCTTAATAACATAATAAATGCAGCTAAATAGGCTTAAAACAGCTTTATTTTTGAGTTTTTAGAAAGCTTTAAATTCGCAAAATATAAAATTTGAAATAATAGATACCGTATATTCTTATAACATGTCATTTTTTGGAAAAAAATAAATTTTGAAAATTTTTTCGAACTATAAACTTAAAAAACAATTTAGTTTTTTGAATCTACATATTTAATTGAGTAATCGCAGTTTGTATTATTCTAAGAAAAAACTACTTCTAGTGTTTTAAAATAAACAACTATTAGCTTGCTCCCTCAGGATATCCCCCTTAGTCTCCAAATAAAAAACTTTTTCTCTCAACTTCTTTTCCATTTACAACATATAAATCATTAAAATTTTCTACATTTTACAAAATTTAAAGATTTATTAATTTACAATTTTAGTTTAATGAAGCAAAACCACAACCATTTTGTACTACTAAATATTAGTTTTAATTTATTTATTAGACTTCTAATACACTTTTTAAAAAATATAATCTCTTGTTTTCTTGAATTTATAAACAATTTATGGTCTCTTCATAAGCTTAAGTCTCCGTATTTTAGTAAAATGTTGGTTATATTCCTTACAGCATTTTTGAAGATTTAATGTTCCCTAAATAAAACCATTAAATATGAGAAAAACATTATTTATTAGTTTAAACTAATTATTAATTTAATCAAGCTTTAAATTTTAATCACATTCAAGGCATTTTTAGTTTTCATCACATGAAGCACATCCAAAAACTTAGCATTTTACGCGCTCATTTTTTTCATTTTAAAACTCATTGATTTAGCATTTTTGAATGCAAGCTGAATCATCATTAGTGTTTTTAAATAAATTCTGCTTACAGGTTATGCAAGAAGATGATTTTGTATTAAAGCATGTCTAACACTCATTAGAGCATTATAATCATGATTAAGTAAACAAAGAATATATTTCATTTTATTTACATGAATCAAAATGCTCATAGTAATTTTTAATGAATTCATTTTTGAGTTTACCTTTTTTTTTAAAACTGAGAGACAATAAGGTTTTTTAAATAATCTTTTAATCTAAAAATTTAATTAAATAATTGTCAATGTTTAGATAATCAAAGATGAAAGAAAATAGGAAGTCACAACATTTTTTACATTTTTTTTAGTTTTGTAGTTATTTAAATAATATGTTTCTTCACACATAAAAATCATAAATAGATTTTAAGTAATCAATAACAAAAAATTTCATAATTAATGTTTATAATATATATAATTAAATATGAGCATATAAAAATAATAATCTTAATATTTTCTATATAGAAATAAAACACCAACAAACAATCAATTTTAATGGTTAGAAAGCTGAATTTGAAATTAAATACTTCTATTATTATTTTTGCTATTTTATAAAGAATTTTAAGTTTCCATAATATAATCATCCTTCTCATAATTAATTGTATTCAAATTTTGACTTGATGTTTTTAAAGCTATTTATTTTTTATTTAAATTATTTTTATATAAATTAAAAAAATATAAATTACATGTTTAGTTTGA